AGACTATGGCCCCTAGCTACCTTTCAGATCTGGAACTGAACCCACTCCCGTGGCTTCCAGCCAAACAATAGACAGGCATATAGAGAGAACATTTGCATCAGGTAGGTACAATCCTTAGAATAGTCAATCATGGGAGAGCAGGAGGGCAGTATTTGTACAGGGAGATAGCTCAGAGGACAGGAGTGCATAGGAAAGAAGGACACAAGGAACAGGTAACTATAGGGAGGAAGTGGGAAGAAAGCTGTTACATTGCAGGGAATTGCGGTCAATGTCATGAAACAAAATGTGTATGAACGGCTGTATGGAAAATGAATTTGCTCTGTAAATTTTCACCCAGATCACAGTTCAAAAAATTTGTTTAAAAAACTACAACTGAAGAAAAAAAAAAAAAAAGGAAACTTTGGGTTCCTCAGTAAGTTAACATGAAATTACCATGTTGTTGTTGGCAGCTGCCGTATGGTCAGTTCTGACTCATGGTGACTCCACGTGTGTCAGAGTGGAGCTTCCCCACAGGTTTTCAGCGGCAGCTTCTTCAGAAACTGATCACCAAGCCTCTCTCCTGAGGCACTTCTTGGTGGATTCTAATCACTAGTCATTTGGCTAGTGATTGCACACTTAACAATTTGCACCATTCTGGAACTCCAAGAATTATCATATAACACAGCAATTCCACTCCTGGCTATCTACCCCAAAGCACTGAAAGCAGGGACTCTAACAGCAACCTGTATACCAATATCCACAGCAGTATTATTCACAACAGCCAAAAGATGGGGACAATCCAAAAGTCCATCAGGAAGCCGAGAGAGAGAGAGAGAGATGTAGCCAGTAGCTCGACATCCATCACACATGGGGATCAGCATTTAGACAGTGTCCAGGTCCAGCAGGCACCAACACCCGGTTGCTGGGCGTTTACTCTATACCAATTGAGTAAAACCTTCTTGGATCTTTTCTTCTGCACACACAACTGCAGGACAGTGAACCATCCCCCTTCCAACCTCATAGAAGTCTAGGGACACATAGAGAGGGAGGGTGTAGTTGACTCAAGGAAAATAACCCAAAACCTCACCTGCCTATTTACTTAATGATGCTACTATGGCCTATCATTTATTTCCTGGTCTGAGAAAGGCTGGGGCAGAGAAAGGGGGTGAGTATCTTTGTTTCCTGGCTCTGCGGTAACAGAGATATCACAAGTAGGTGGTTTAAAGAATGTAAATTTACTGTCTCACAGCTCTGGAGTCTGAAAGTCTAAATCGGGGTCTTGGCCATGTGGACCTTGTCATTAGTGCCAGCCGTTCCTGGGTTCCTCAGCGTGTAGTCGATCCTCACATGGTGTCTGTCTTCCCCCATGTGTGCCTGTCTCTGAATCTAATATGCCCTTTCTGTAACTCAGAAGTGATTAGGTTTAGGCTCCATGAATATAACAAAGAAAACTCTATTCCCAAACAGGATCACATCCAGACACCAAAAAACAAACCCACTGCCATCCAGTCCACTCCAACTCATAGCAAGCAACCCTATGGGACAGAGTAGAACTGCCCATAGGGTTTCCAAGGCTGTAAACGCTTATGAAAGCAGACTGCCTCATCTTTCTCCCACAGAGTGGCTGATGGGTTCAAACCTCTAATCTCTTGGTTAGCAGCCAAATACTTTCACCACTGTACCACCAGGGCTCCACTCCAGATAGGGGTTGGGATTCCAGTGAATACTTTGAGGGGACACAGTTCAATCCATAACAATGAGCGACTGAAGTTTGGATGTAGACTTTGTAATCCCTGTGAGTATCAGACAGGAAAATACAGAATTGGCCTGAGGTTTTATCAGGAATGGAGAACAAGTAGATGGTGGTCATTTCAGAGCAGGAGAGAGAGAGATAAGGCTGTTTATGATTTGCACCTCATGGAGCCCAACTGATTCTATAAAGTGCCCGCAAATTTGCTCAACAAGTGTTTGTGTAGTGTCATCTCTGTGTGAGACATTTGGGATAGAGACTTTGGGATAGAGAACACTATGTTTTAGTGTGGGAAGTCAGGCAGGATGTACCAGGAGCAAAGGACAAAAAAATGGGGCTGTGCCAAGTGCTAGGAAGAAAATAAAACGAGTGGTGTGAAAGAGAGTGATGAGATGAGGAAGAATGGTGAGGTGAGGAGCACATGGACTTCTGCTCTCAGAGAGAGAAGGTGCCATTTGAGTGGGGATCTGACAGGAGGGAACTTGATGACAGCTGGTAACAATATTTCTTAACGGTATGAGTGGGTTTCCACTCCTCTTGCAAACAGGAACCAGACAAGTATCCCTTCTATCGCCACTTTTATTCAACATTGTATTGGAAGTCCCAGCCAGGGC